TTCATGTAACAGCACTTTTCAACACTTTTTGGGTTTTGGTTTGTGCTTATAGGAAATTGTACTTTGCTGTAATGTATATTTCTGGATCCGTTTTCATTTCAACAGTGTTCTTTTCTTTTCTTTCATCGGCCCTTCACTTTGTTTGACTGCCTGCCTGCAATTGGGATTATCACGCTTTCGGTGTGCCGTATGCTTGACTGATGTATGAGTGATTTAATAAATGACTGAGCTCGTGTTTCAGTGTATATTGTATGTGTGAAAGCAAGAGGGAGAGAAATCAAGACTGACAGGACAGACATGTCCTGACACGAAGCTGTAAACTCGTTGAGCTCTGAACCTGCTGGAGCTGGCACTGAGTGAAGAGTGTGGATTATCTGCAATAAATAATATTTAACATCAAACCCTGAGAGTCTACTGTCTCAGTGACGGTTGGTCTTGGTTCCCAAGAGGTAAAATATGCACAGCAACATTAAAGACCAGGGTATGTAATGTATAATTCATCAACTTTTCCATGACTTTCCACTACTAAGCTATAGCTCTTGTTTGAAATGACTATTCACAGTTTGAAAAAAGCTTCTTGTATCCAGGGGGTGGACAGGGGTGGCACTACCAGAATCAGTGTGGTAACCCCTGCTGCCAGAGTCAAAATATGATGCTTCTCAATATTAATGAATGAAAAGCAATGACAAACTGTGCTTTATAATTGATATTGGTCAAAATTGTTTTATTTTATATAATGTATGCAAGTACTGGGCATTTGAGGAACCACAGTGATGTCCCTAATGAGATTAAATAAGGAGCACAGCCAAAGAAGCCAGTTTGTATGTCAAATTTTTACACAAAAACAGTTTGGTTCTTAATAATGTAGATTATTGTTTCATAGAACTAGAGGTTTAAAATTTTCATGTGTGTCAAATGTGTCACCCCCCCTCTGAGTCTGTGACCCAGACTGGACACCCCATCAAAACCTTTCTAAATCCACCCCCGCTTATAACCTTCACTAGGTGGCAGGTGGGGCAAATTTACGGGCCTTACTTTGACAAGGCAGAGAAACTGGAATAACATCAGAAGGTGACGGACTGTTATGGAGGGGGATAGTATAACTGAGAGACACCTTGTTTCATTTTTACTTGATTTATCAGACTGGAAAATTTTAGTTAATGTACCTTTAAGATATTTATGAGCTCAAACCCAATAATTGATACTTTTTGTCTGCACTGGCCGTTCATGTTATGTACTTTCTCTAATTATCACTCTATGCAGTCATTCTCATTGCTAGTGGAGGAGTCTGCCTTTCCTGCCCTGTTTTAAGATCACCTACCTATGTGTACCTAGGTGAGTTTGTTTGGTTTTACTGCATTCAGACGCATTAGTCGCTCTTCTTTAACAGTTCTGACAAAGCTCAACAAATGTTGGCTGAAGTATGTTTTACTGCAGGTGATGTTACCACGGCAACCACAGGTGTTGCCAAATGATCCATGGATGAAATCATAGCAAGTACAATTTTGAAAGTACTAACACCAACATGTTTTGGCTGTTTCCTTTGTGGAAAGCATTTAGCTGAAACCCGTTGGTGTCAACCATGCAGTGTTTTGCTTTAACACTTTAAATGGTTAGGTAATATATAGTATTTAATTATAATTTTAACTTTACCTGGGAAGACATACAAGTGCCTTGAGGCACTTTCTTCACATTTGGCACAAACATCCACTTGCGCTCAAGGATGAAGTGATTGGATTTTAGTGGTCAAAAGTCAAGGTCACACTGACCTTACACCTGTCCCATTCCCATGAATTTGACTGGTCGGAGAAGGCAGAAAACGGCAAAGCAGTAAATGGCTCAATAAGTAGTTTGAATTTTCTACTTTGACCAGTTACATTAAACTGCTGCCAGCACTTTAATGCATCTAGTAACAAATTACCAGTTCTCTTAACATAATGAGTACTTTCACTTTTAATACTTTGAGTATATTTTTCTGATAATACTTTAGTAAGATTTTGGATGTAGGAGTTTTACTTTTAACGGTATTTTTACAGTGTGCTCTTACTACTTTTACTTAAGCATCTGAATACTTTTCCCATCACTTACAAAGCATTTACAAAATAAAAATTTGTTGTAGCAGTGATAAAGATCTGCAGAGTACGCCACCTATTTTTAGGCTACTAAGCTACTAGCCTACAAAGATTTAACAAAGGAGGAATACTAGGGATCTAAGGATAGTACAGGGTAGTAGTCTGATAAACTGGGAAGGTACTGTTTTTCTTGTTTACATCCTCCTGTGAGTTGGTGCTTTTGGTCATAACCCAACATGGACGCACACCAAAAACACACCAGTTTTTCTCTTTCATGTTAAGACTTTCTAACTTTCTCCCTGATTTTGTGTCCTCATTAGTATGGATGAGCAGTTCTAACTTTTCCCATGAGCTTCTTTCAGAGGTCATGACTCTTTATGTGTTTTGTATCTGTGCGTTTGTGTGTGAGTGGGGGTATAAACTATAGGTTGAATAAATGTCATTGAGGTTGTCTGTTGTTCCTGACCTAACTAACTGCCATAAATAACCACCCACTGACCACCTTCTGTATTCAAATGCATACCACGCAGTGCAGTTATGACCCTGTGTAGGAAATGATGAGTACACTATTTTCCTCTCAGAGGTCAAACAGAGTTTAACCCTGTCTGGCAGCACAAACCTGGTAAAGATCAACTTGTCATAATAATTACTAGTAAATCTAAAAATGCTAATTTATCAAGAACATTTAAATAAATATTTAATGGTTCAAGAGTAAAGATTGGCTCATTTTTTATATCATTTTATTGAGTTTTATGTAATAGTGAATTGAGATAAAACAAATAATTTAAAGACATCACTTCAGGATCCCAGAAATTCGTACAGGCCCTTTTCATTATTTTATAACATTTTATAGACTAAACAATTGTTAAGTTGATTGAAAAAAATTTATCAACAGATAAATCAATAATGAAATTAACTGTTAGCTTCAGATGTAGTATCAGTGAATTCACAGCAAACGTCACTAAGATGACAAGAGAGTGAGAGTTTTGAAGGATGCCAGTGTGCAAGGGGCTGGGTCATGTGACCAAATAGCACTAGCAGTACATTGGAGCCATAGATATATATGGCTTATACACTACTGGCCACTATATTAGGTACGCCTGTACAATTGTATGTAATTCAGTGCAACACTTCCACCTTAATATCTGTGTTTATGAAACTCAGAATGCTTCAGCTTTTGGTGAAATTGGCATAAGTATCTAAATTCAATTATATATTTATTATTGAGGTCATAGTTAAAGGTGGTGTTGTACTGGACTACATTATATTCAGAGGTGTCTTTATATTTTTGTCCTCCCTAGCTACATACGCGAGAAAGTCAGAATATTAGGAACACCTCTGAAAACGTATAATTGAATTTTTGAGCTTCGTAAACACAGATTTTAAGGTGGAAGTGTTGCATTGAAATGCATACAATTGTAAAGGTGTACTTAATAAAGTGGCCAGTGAATATATGTTTGTACTATGCTTGTTTTTTTCCTTGAAGCAGTGATACTTCATGTGGTGTCATTTTAAATGAGTTAAAATCTTTGATGTGTTGCCAAAAACATACCCGATCACCACTGAGCAGACATATTAAGTGGTGTACCTGAGCACAATAAACATCTCATCTGCTTGTCTGTGTCTGTTGTTGTATTTCACTGGGAAGCAGAAGTGATCCCTAATAGGAGCATAATGATAAGGGAGGGCCTTCTAGCTGCGGTTTCGTGTTTGTACTGGCCATGACATTGTTAGCCAGAGGCTCAGCTAAGCTAAGCATGCTGCATGTCTGCCACTTTATGTTTGTGTGGGTACATCTGCACCAAACCTAAAGCCCTTACACCAAAATGGTTCGGTATGAATATGGGTATCTTTTCACCCCTCATGCATCGTCCTGTAGGCTATATTGTGGACATTGTAGTACACACCAGCACAGTTTTTTTTTGTTTGTTTTTTTTTTGCTAATTACTCTTTGTGATTTCCCCACTTGTCCTCAGTCTGCTTAGTCTGCTCACACTACATTTACTGTTTTTCTTTTCTGTTTATTAGCATAACATGTGCACAGGAATTAGGAGAAAAGATTCCAGCTTGTTGCAGCAGGCTTCAGTTTCACCTGTTGAAAAGCCTGGGGAGAAAAGAGTTAAATTAGAAGTAACCAACCTGCCAAACCAGGAATGGGTAAACATGTTTCATTGACTTGTGGGTTGCAGGTTGAGACAGAATATGACTAGACATCTTATCTGAACATCAGTAAATTTTAGGCTCACATCAATGTGGGGATCAGCAACTAAAAAGTAATTAAATTAGAAAGTTTTAAAAAGTAGAATTACTGCCTCATGGTTGTAAATCTCTAACAACCAGTCCAGTTACAGTTTACACGCATGCCCATCCAATAATATACAGTATGTAATGAAGACTGAAGGAATTTAATAAAAGGTATTAAGTGTATTGACACGTGTGATTCTAGTGAATAACTTTCAGTGAGAAACATGCTATTGTCTCTTTGAGGGTATTTTAACAGAGCAGTACAGACGTACAGAGGACTGCTAGAGAGCTGTCTCATCATCCTTGAATGGATAGTTGTGCCAAATTTCAATAAATCACTTCAAGGATATCACCTTCACGAGAATGGGACCAATGTACTCACAGATGCACAACCTAAAAATATCAGGCTAATGCCTCTGACAGACAGCACAGAGGCATAAAAAGTGTATCTGCTACACAATTTGTGTTAATTTTGTCTTATCTTTCTCAAATCACTTTTTAACTGTGAAACTATACCTTTTCATGTCTTTAAAATTTATTCAAAAAAGACAAATCTAAGATGGGCACATTATTGATTTTAGAACTTTTACAAATTAATAAATCATTTGGACATTTTGTGTCCTTTTGGCATCTTTTTATGGTCATTTTTCCATCTCTTTGTAGCTGTTTGTGTCTCTTTTTTTAAGTAATTTTGTGTCTCTGTGGTCATTTTTTTCTTTTTGGTCAGGTTTGGTTTCTTTGTAGTCACTTTGTGTCTTTTAACTGACCTCTATGACTTTCAAACTAAAATATTCACAAGTCGCCTCATACAGAGGCTCAGGCCCCAGCGCCTCAGAGGTCAGGGAGAGTAGGCCGCTAGTCCTGTTCGGTAAATCCAACATGTCGTCCTACCTCTACACCTGTCTTCTTTGAGTGCGAGTGTGTGTTCGTGCTCGTGCGCGAGGTCGTGTCTGTAGACGTTAGGACCCAGCGGAAACTTTATCTCTGGTGCTGCAGCCTCTGCGGCTCGTGAGAGCGAGCAGACCGGTTGGTGGGAGAGAGAGAGGGAGAGAGACAGGAAAAGCGAGAGCCAGCAGCGGAGAGAGAAGACCCGGTAGAGCGCGAGGAGGGAGAGAGAGAGAGGGAGCGACGACCGTCAGGGTCCGGGTGCCTGAGGGACGGACGATACGGTAAATATAAACATTATATTTTGGCTCGTCAACACACACCGGAACCCGTTACAGACGTTAAGTTAGCTACAGTCATCTCCTAAAGTCATCGCTCGCGCGCTCCGGAGACAAGCCGTTGGTTCCGTTTTAGCAGATGATGTGCGCGGAGCGGTCCGTTCACGGGGCGAGTGAACTTGGGGAGTTCTTATGAACGGCAGGAGGAAAATCACAGCAACGCCATGAATTCACGAATTTATGTCAAACGTTGTCCAGTGGAGTGTGCACCCCGTCCCCGTTCTCCCCGGCACCAGCAGGTAATGTAAAATCGGAGCGCACCGTGTTCTTCACCCACCAGATGCAGACAGACACATCAGCGCGCGGAACCGTCGGCACCGCGGAGAGCGAGCGAGTGAGCGCGCGCCTGTTCGGGGTTAACGGGTGCATTCGGCCTGAAACTCGCCCCCGTGTGTGTTTTTTTTACCTGACCCAGTAAAGCTTATCGTCTCTACACACTCAGACACGTGTCCCTCACCGGCTGCACACCCCGCCGGGATTATACACCGTTTATCTAAGGCCGTCCGGTAAAGGCCGTGTAAGGTCGCTCTCAATATTAATTGTCATAAGCTGAGCCCCGGTAAGATAGCTGGAATGACTGCGACACTTCCGGCATACACTTTAAAAATAAAAGCCTCTTCGTCGAACGTTATACATTGATGCAAACATAAATTTGTTTGCTGATGCTATTCTCTTGTCTCAAGATTTAAAGTAACCAGTTCAATGATCACTTATTTATAGTTGAATTTATTCATTATTTATTTCCCGGAATTTCTTAATTCGAATTATGTGCTAGGCTCTTAATCGAATATTTACCTCATCTTGTAGCCTGAATATGTATTGAGGGTGTATTTTCATTACTGCTAAATCTGCAAATAATTTTATTGAAAAGTCTGGATTACTTCTGGGCGACACAGCAACTGCCCAAATGCCCCACAACCCCAGTGCCAGGTGTACTGTATCATTTGAGGGCTATATAATTTCATCAGTCACAAATTTGATAGAAATTGATAGCATTATGTATAACAGGTTCTCCATTCTCCAATTTGTGTCCTTTTCCTTAGTCATTTTTAAGACATGCATTTTTTAAAGTTTGTATAAGCTTATTAGCTGTAAAGGTAAGTTTTATCAAATATATTTAATTTTTGTTTGTGCACCAAATAGCAAGGCAGTGCTTATCCATCACAGAAGTTCTGTAAAGCTGCAACCAACAATTATTTTCAGTATCAATTTTCAATCTGACAATAACACAAGGGAAATAAGCAAATATTCATATTTGAGAAACTGGTCTAAGTTAATTTTTGGTATTTTTGTTTGGAAAAAGACTCACTAATTAACCAACTGTACAAAATGATTGACTCATCGAAATTGTTGGCAATGTTCTGTCATTTGAATAATTGATTAATCAACTTGGCTACTCATTTCTACTCTATTGCACTGTTTGGTTTCTACTAGGAGAAATCCATTTAATTGTTTACTTTTGGACACAGTTTACTGAGACAGGGGTGATATGTTGGGAGGGTTTCATGACCTCAGATGATGTCTGTATTTCTAAAATTCTGGCTGTACTTGGATTTTTATGAAATTCAACAATTTGAAAGTGTTAAAAATTGGTCGTCGGTTGAAAAATGGGAAATACTTGCCTCAAGTAAAGTGCAGCTTTGTAATGAAGTAGAAAACACCCGCTTATCTGTCATAATGTAAAATATATTAGCTTGTTAGATTAGTTCAAGTCAAGTCTTTCAAGCAGAAATACTTGGGTCAGTAAGATAAGACAAGCTAAGAGAAAAGGGAAGCTCAAGAACAATTTAAATTAAATGAATAACAGTGAAGGAAAAGCTTAATATGAAATATTGTATGCTTTTATTGTGGTGAAGACAAATGACCTCTTCCCTGTTGTGTCACTGCATGACTCTCACTACCTTGACACACCTCTGAAGCTTTTTCTCTACCCAACCATTTCTCCTCTCACCAGTACAGGCTTCTGCTTGGGCCTTTGACTATGGCCTAATATAAACCACTGCTGACATGAAGATTAGAACAATCACTGTATACATAATTTCTATAGGAGTGTGAGGTCTGTGTGTGTGTGTGTCCGTGACCTAAATATGGAGATCTTAGAGGAGTTGGTTGGCCTGGAGCCTTGGAGCTTGAACAGTTGAACAGTGAGCCCCCGGGAGTGGAGGGGTGGATACTGTACACCCATTTCTGCAAAGTTTCCACCCCTGTCTTTCTGCTAGTAACCCTGGACAGCTGCCTGTTGTCTTTACAGTAGGTGATATAAGTGCACAGCGTGAGGAGTGACATTCTGCACAATACTTCTTGAGCAAAGCCAGACATATTGGCTGCAGTCACACTGAGCTCTAATCCAAATCACTGCTGAGATCCTATGTTCTTCAGGCTCATGCAAACATTATATTTTTAGCTTCTTTTGTGCCCAGATTATGATCAGTATCTGACACCAGTCTGAACAAATCACACTCCTGAACTGACTCAACCCTGCAGGAACAAAAACCTCACACAAGACATGCTCATGCAGAAGTAACTGTGAGATAGAAACTGCTTTAACTAATGCCATTATGTACAGTACGGGGTAATTTGCATGCTAATGTTGAGATGGATCATGGCTATGGAAAATATCCATCCATCCATCAATTCTTCAGGTCCTCATAGGGGACTCAGAGGCATTCCCAGGCTGATGATATGTATAATCTTTCCATCATATTCTGGTTTTTCCCTGGAGCTTCCGACTAGTTGGATGTGCATGAAAAACCTCCAAAGGCGCTCAGGAGACATCTTAATCGATGCCTGAATCACCACAACTGGCATCTTTTGATACAAAGGAGCAGCAGCTCTACTCCGAGCTCCCTCCGAATATCCGAACTCTGAAGTAAAGCGGAGTCCAGCCACCCTCCAGAGGAAACTCATTTCAGCCGCTTGCATTCAGAAAAACTTGTAACCATAGGTGAGGGTCGGAATGCAGATTGACTGGTAAATTGAAAGTTTTGCCTTCCAGTTCAACTCCCTCTTTTCCGCAATGAGTTGATACAATTCCCGCATTACTGCTGACACCGCACCAATCTGTCTGTCTCATTCTCCATTTTACCCTCACCTGTGTATAAGACCCCCAAATACTTGAGTATCAATGGGGCAGCACCTCGTTTCCAACCCAAATCCCATTCCTACCATTTTCCAACAGAGAATGGTGGTGTCAGACTTGGAGATGCTGATTCTCATCTCAGCTGCTGAGAAATGGAAAATGGAAGAAACCTCAGAAAGTCCTGCATTCAAAATAATACTTAAGAACAAAAGTTTATTCAGCAAAATGTATGTAAAGTATCAAACATAAAAGGCAAAAAATGGTTCCTGTCAGTGTTTTGCTATTATATATAGAATGTTTAATATTGCTGGTGCATTAATGTGTTGGTTGAACTTTGCTGCCATAGTTGTTTCAGATTGCACAAATTTTAATTACTTTGTACACTGCAGGTATTTTAACCTACAAGATAATCTACAAGATATACAGTATGTTTCTAATAGCCCTGTTTTCAGCTTGGTGACAATGCATTTCCAGCTATTTCAAGGCTTTTTACAACCAATTTGTTAAGTTTAGGATGTAGAAGAATTATTAACCTATAAAGGAACAATTACCCATCCATTTTATCAGAAAAATTAATGTTCAAGATCATCAGATTTAGAGGTACATCTTTTTGACTGGACACAAAGGATGAATAATGTAACTAGTAACTAAATGTGTCAGGTACAAGTAGTAGAGTAAGAAGTACAATATTTGCCTCTGAAATGTAGTGAAGTAGAAGGACAGTACAAAGAAGTAGAAAATTAAAAGTACCAGTACCTTGAATTTGTAATATAGTACTTGCTTCATTCTATTTAGGTACTTTCCACCCCTGATTTTTGTTACTGTGTTTTTTTATATTAACTTGATTAAACAACAGCTTAATCAGAAAGCAAGCAATAGGTGTGGATCCTGAATGCAGCCATTTTGTCTAATGAGAGGCGGTAGTAATATTTGGCCACGTCAGTCGCAGTGTGACAGCCATTTTGAAAGCTACCTTGATCCTAGCATACTTCTTTAGGGACACCTACATGTGTGCCTTTGCATAAACGTGGGTGTGTTCACCTGTTACTGCACTGAAAGTGAATATTTTCTGCTCTGCATGAGCAGGGGTCCCATCCATCAAGTACAGCCCACAGAGACACACACACCTGTTGTAGAGCCTCGGCCTCAGGGCTGTATGTTCGTGTGTGTGAATGGGTGAAAAAGGTGGGTAGACTGAGGAAGAGACAAAAAGGGATAGTAAGATGACAGCCACATGCTGTGAATGATTTCTTACTCAAACTTGACAAATCTCCTCTTACTGCATGACCACTCATATCACGCTGTGTGCATGTTTTCTTGTTTTTCTACCAGGAAAGAGGGGAGGACTGAGCGAGTGGGTGATCTTCCAACCGACCGATCGACAGACAGATTGAATGAAGCTGCACCTGCTGCTTCTGAGGGCCTTTCCCATGTTTTGATTTGCTCCATTTTTTACTTTCTAAACTTGGTTTCATCAAACCACTCCCTGCCATGCCGTCAAACTGTCCTGCTGCCACTGACCCACCCCAGACACCTGAGAACGGCACCTCCAATGATGTGGTGAGAGAGTACTGCTTTAATGCTGCTTTTTTTCTTCTTTTTGGAAACGCTTAAATGATTTCAGTTAGTTTTACTGCTGATAATTATTAATAAGTAAACACAAAATTGCTGCACTCACAATTCTAAAGTAGTGGAATAGATGATTTAGGATACATGTGTGGAGTATATGTGTACATGTATGGGGAGTATGTATAATTTAACTCCTATGACTCTGTATATTAAGTGATTATAATTAAACCCTGCCAGCGTCTGTAATTATTCCAGTGACATTCTCCAAACTGTTTATTTATATGCACCTCATTTTGTATTTATACATCCTACCACCTTTGCTACTACTTCTACTGTTGCTACTACTAGTGCTCTTATTATTGCTGCTTCTATTATTATACATACTGAAATACGACTACTGTTATTTTTGCAGCTGCAGATATTATTACAACCACTACCTCTTTTACTACAGCTATCATTATCATTACTACTTGGCTTCTGAGCACACAGTTGAAAGCTTATTTTTACTAAAACACAAAAAAATCTGGCAAGTCAGGTTGTGCGCATCTGTAATAATAAATTTATTAACATTCACTACAGCTTTTCTGCGTTCCACACATTCACCCGACCACAAGCAGGTGAGGCTGGTGCAGGGATGCAAATGTCAAACTGTCTTTTTTACACAAATTAGCATGGACACACAAAGCACACACTGCTACATAGTCAGAAATACACAAGGTGAAAAATGGCTTGTTTCATTTGTGCCCCCATAGCCCAGGGCAGCCCTCATAAATCTGTGAGAAGTCTGAAGTTCATTCCATAGTGTTTCTATATAAAGAGCCATCATACTCACTTTACTTCACACACTGGCAGTGAGCCAACAAGTGCAAAGTTTCCCTTATAGAGTCCGTTGTGCTTTCTGGCTTGAGTCAAGAAAAGCCCAGAGAGAAGCCAGAGCGAAATTCATGACATGGGAAAGACATGGCATTCACTGTAGGAGACAGAAAGAGAATTGGGGTGTTGGCGATTTGACTGATTCCAGTTATAATGTTTTTTACATGCACAAGCCTACTGTATAAAATGTTGAAGTTAAAATGACACTTTAGCAGTCTTGGATCAGGATAAAACAGGGTGCCCAGTCAACAAAAGGAAGCAGAAAAGTGAATATTAATGCTGTGCCATAAAGCAACTCTTGTTTTATGAATCACCTTTTGTTTGTTTATATGTCTCCTCATTGGCGACAGCCATCGCCATCTGTCTTCTGTTTGTCCATCCCATAACACGATATCTCCAGAACGCCTTGAGAGAATTTTTTCCAATTTGGCACAAACATCCATTTGAACTCAAGGATGGACTAATTAGATTTTATTGGTCAAAGGTCAAGGTCACTGTGAACAGGTTGCTGGAGTCATACAACCGCGAGGTGGTAATTCTAGTTTATCTTTTGTTTTCATCACTTTTAGATTTTCTGCTTGATTTTGTCTCACTTGTCTTGCTCATTTTTGAAACAAACCAAAGAAATGAAATGATCTTCACAAATAATAATTGATGAGCCATATAAATCACCCTTTGTAAACCTGTGAAAAACCTCAAATTTTGCTTTGTGAATGTGTAGAATAGATTCAAATATGGGCAGGTATAAAATGTATCAGTGGTGAAGTTAAAAAAGGCTTGCTTTTCCCTGTAAAACTGGGCCCAAAACTCATATTCCTAAATTTTTATTCATATTGCTGGTCTTTTCCATAATTTTTTTCTTATAATGCTGCTTGTTAATTGATCTAATTAAGTGCATCATGCTTTTGCCGATGTTGGTGTTCCCTCTCTGTTAAGTTTTCTTTTCTTCTTTTTTTTTTGTACAGCCACATTTTGGAACTGGTCTAATTATCCTCAGGTTTGTTCGGGTCTGACTGTGTTCGGGTTTCCTCCTTTCTGGGCCTCTCGTTTTTTCAAACTAAATGTACAGAGGGTACGGAAAGTATTCAGACCCCCTTAAATTTTTCACTCTTTGTTATATTGCAGCCATATGCTAAAATCATTTAAGTTCATGTTTTTCCTCAATGTACACACAGCACCCCATATTGACAGAAAAACACAGAATTTTTGACATTTTTGCAGATTTATTGAAAAGAAAAACTGAAATATCACATGGTCATAAGTATTCAGACCCTTTGCTGTGACACTCATATATTTAACTTAGGTGCTGTCCATTTCTTCTGATCATCCCTGAGATGGTTCTACACCTTCATTTGAGTCCAACTGCATTTGATTATACTGATTGGACGTGATTAGGAAAGCCACACACCTGTCTATATAAGACCCTACAGCTCACAGTGCATGTCAGAGCAAATGAGAATCATGAGGTCAAAGGAACTGCCTGAAGAGCTCAGAGACAGAATTGTGGCAAAGCACAGATCTGGCCAAGGTTACAAAAAAAAATTCTGCTGCACTTAAGGTTCCTAAGAGCACAGGGGCCTCCATAATCCTTAAATGGAAGACGTTTGGGACGACCAGAACCCTTCCTAGAGCTGGCCGTCAGGCCAAACTGAGCTATCGGGGGAGAAGAGCCTTGGTGAGAGAGGTACAGAAGAACCCAAAGATGACTGTAGCTGAGCTCCAGAGATGCAGTCAGGAGATGGGAGAAAGTTGTAGAAAGTCAACCATCACTGCAGCCCCCCACCAGTCGGGGCTTTATGGCAGAGTGGGGGGGCTGCAGTGATGGTTGACTTTCTACAACTTTTTCCCATCTCCCGACTGCATCTCTGGAGCTCAGCCACAGTCATCTTTGGGTTCTTCTGTACCTCTCTCACCAAGGCTCTTCTCCCTCGATAGCTCAGTTTGGCCGGACGGCCAGCTCTAGGAAGGGCTGTGGTCGTCCCAAACGTCTTCCATTTAAGGATTATGGAGGCCCCTGTGCTCTTAGGAACCTTAAGTGCAGCAGAATTTTTTTTTTGTAACCTTGGCCAGATCTGTGCTTTGCCACAATTCTGTCTCTGAGCTCTTCAGGCAGTTCCTTTGACCTCATGATTCTCATTTGCTCTGACATGCAGTGTGAGCTGTAGGGTCTTATATAGACAGGTGTGTGGCTTTTCTAATCACGTCCAATCAGTATAATCAAACACAGCTGGACTCAAATGAAGGTGTAGAACCATCTCAGGGATGATCAGAAGAAATGGACAGTACCTAAGTTAAATATATGAGTGTCACAGCAAAGGGTCTGAATACTTATGACCATGTGATATTTCAGTTTTTCTTTTTTAATAAATCTGCAAAAATGTCAAAAATTCTGTGTTTTTCTGTCAATATGGGGTGCTGTGTGTACATTAATGAGGAAAAAAATGAACTTAAATGATTTTAGCATATGGCTGCAATATAACAAAGAGTGAAAAATTTAAGGGGGGCTGAATACTTTCCGTACCCACTGTATGCGTGTCAGATTCAGATGCTGTAGGTTTTCCTTGATTCCATTTTCGGTCTATTGGACCTCTAGTTCAAATGAATGGCTATGAATGTGTAAATATTGATTATTTCAACAAGTTTAATAGAGTAAGAAATCAGGAGGTGATGGAATATAAGAAATGAGCATGTGAAAGAAAAGGGGAAAGAGACACTGAGAAGAGGAGGCTGGGGAAGAACGAAAGAGGACAAGCTGTCTGCTGCTGATGGGATCCTCCTCTGCCCGCCTGGTTTGAAGTCTGGTTGCTTAGCAACTGCAGCGGCCTAAAATAACCTGCCAGGAGACAGAAATAGACTAAAGATATATGGACAGATTGGCTGGTGTGGTTTGTGTGTGCTGACACATTTTTGAGGCGATTTGGTTGAGTTGTTTTCTTGTTCTCTCAGTTTATATTTGACTTAGTTGTACTATTTCTTTGCTTGTCACACTTTCAGCACAGGATTAAATACACTTGGGTTTTTCTAAAACGTGTCTGTGCTTGTAAGTGTGTGTTATAACACAGGTGCAAGGCCAGTACCCGTTCTAGCTGGTTGCTATACTGATTGTCAGGGAAGTGACATCAGAATGTTTAGTCAGCACAGCGGCCCCGTCGGACACAGTTGCTAAGCAGTTTCTGCACCTTAGCAACCACTCCACTGTCACTGCAACAGAGGGAGGAAGATATTGATGGAAACACAAGCCTGACAGCAGGCAGCGTACAGAGACAGGTAGCTCTGATTATAGCAGAAAAGAGAGTCAAGAAACAGAGCAGATATTATTAGACCACTGTAACTCAGAGTACGGCGTGATATTAAACTGGTTCAACAGCCTGTTTTGTGCAGCTGCACACAACAAAAGAGTGTCAAAGAGCAGGGAACACAATAATGTAAGACACAAGTAAATAGAGATGGGTGACAAATGAAAGGAAAAACTGAAACTGAAGGACTCAATAAGTCATACCTTGCCCAGAGCTGATGTACAAAGAGACTTAGTTTGGTCAGAACAACAAATAAATAAAGAGAGGGATGCATCTGTTCAGATTAGTGGTGTGTGGTAGACAACAGTTTTACAGCTCTAATCTGACTGTGAATGAGTGCATATTTAGCATCTTACGACTGACAGTGCCAGGCACGTCCTCTTCTCAATCCACTCTCTCTACATTGGCTCTCTACATGCATTTATCATTTATCATGATCAAGAAAACATCCACCATCCTCAGGTACAAATGCAGAGGAAGGACAAGGTTGGCAAGGCTTTGCATATCACAAGTCTCTGGGTAAATCCCAAACCTCTTATTTGAATTTTCCTTGCTTTTTGATCCTCGCTCCACTTGTCGATTATTCTGATCTGCCACCTTGAAGAACACCCCAAAGTTCTTATTCTTGCTCTGAGGAGCAAGGATCAAGAAGTGAGGAGGCTGTCTGGAGGAGGCATGACACCATCCTTTGCAGAAGTCCTTTATGAACTGGAATACCCCTTTATCAGAAATCAGTTGGTGATTGGATGCTTCAGATGAAGGATCGGAGGAAAGGACGTCTCGTGTCTCTGAAACATGTTTCATCATCTCTTTCCTCACATTTATCCTTTGAACCTCTTCTTCTTCTGTGGGAGGGACTAAGACACAAGGGAAAGACACAAGTGAAGGAAACGTGGATGCAATTAAGGGAATTGGGATTCACCTCTGTCATGATCTCTGCCTATGTCCTATCTCCGCCCATTGTTTTCCCTTTGGTGTCTTTGTCCCAGTTTTCCTGCTCTTGCTACCTGCTCTACCTGCTCTAACCACACTCACCTGCTTTCCATCTGTGTAATCAACCAGCCAATATAAACACCAGCTCTTAGTGTTCACTCCCTGCTCAATTGTCATTGCTGTAGAAATTGTTTTTGTGGCATATGTCCTTTGTGCCGGCCTCGTTTTTTGTTCTGTTTTCTCCCACAGACTCTGACCGTGTTTGTCCGCTGTCTGGACTCCTGGAGTCACCTTTGGTTGGATGTTTTTGGTCTTTTGTATATTCTGGTTTTGTTCTGTTCCAAGTGTTCTGTTTGACTTACTGTGTATGGACTCCAATTGCCCACTATTTCTGATTATGTGCCTACTTGTGGTTTGAACTGTTTGCCTAGCCTGTCAGCAGTTGTATGTGTATTTGGAGTATTGGAGGAAATGTTTGATTTGAGCATACCAACTCTTAAAGAAAATTTTACATCCAAAGTTTCATAATCTGAGGTGGTTGTCTGGTGGTTGACAACATTAAACTTTCCTTCCAGAAGAGTGTCTGCTGCCCACTTTTTATGGACATTATTTTAATTGCCAGAACCCAGGAAGGATATTAGGTAACTACAACTCATAACACTGAAGTCCAAGTCCATGTCTCTGTGGTGTTTTTGTGATCTGAATGACTGAAGTAATTAAATTCATGAGTCAACTCCACACGTCTGAGGAAAGGCCTCAAAACCCAAAGAGCTGTCAACAACACTAACATCATCCTTCTGGTTAGAAACCTCTCAAAGGTGTTTTTTTTTTTTTATTTTATTTTATTTTTTACTTTGCTTTGGATCGAGCACACTCACTATGTAGTTGAGACACAGGTGCAGTGCTATTTTTATTTGATACAACATTGTCAAATTACACCACTGCTGTTCTACAAATCCAGTGGTACCATGCCACTTTGTCTCTGCTGTGAGCTGAGCAGAAAAAACTGTTTACAACTGCTGAGATGAATTAATTTATGTTCAGAACTTCACCTAAGGCATTAAGGCAGTGCAACAGATTTCTAAAAGGCCTCAAATTAATTATCTAAATTTAATGTTTTAAAGAGATGTTAGTTTTTTCATTCTGCATATGCACAGCTAGAGCAGGACTTGTAGTATAACATTCATCCTGTCTGTTATACTAGACTGCATTTCATGTCTGTAAATGTATAATTTATTGATTTTCTCTTTTACTTTTTGCGATTTCATTGTTTGAGACTGGCTTGTTCAATCAGAAATGGGCCAGCATTGAGAGTTTTAATGTAGTTTGCTTTTATATCAGTTGAACTCAATGTTTTGTTCAGTGCAAAAATCAAAGTGTGAAACATGACCACAGATACTCTGGTTCTTTGCAACTGTAAACAATGTACTGATACCATTTATTCTTATTATTCTGTTTTCCCATCACTGCTGTACCTCAGTGTGTTTTAACCATGTTGCCTTGAATCACTGCTGCTTCACTGCTGAAATCAAATTTAACTTCATGCAGTCATTTGATTAGTTCAGTGGTTGATGTGGCCTCTCTGTAATTGGGCAGAGTGAAGATGGAGCAGACCAAGACAGTCCAGAGGAGGGGACTCCAGCGAGTCCCCGCAACAAGCGCAGAGTGGGCCGTCCTGGCAGGAAACGCAAACAGCTGCTTCCTGTGAGTACTGTAACTGTAGTCTACCATTGCTTTAAACTATAGCAGAGTGATTAATTATCTGCTTATCTATACAAATCTCCCATCTAACCTGAAAAGACACATTAAACATGCACACACTCTTTTCAGGAACACTTCAGATTTATGCAGAGTGTCAACTAGGGGTGTGACGATACACTGAGCTCACAAGACGAGACAGTGCATGATATTGGGTTCATGAGATTGAGGTGAGATGATATTTTAGCACTATTTTTAAGTAATCTCTAATGATGAAATATATGACTGGAAAAATTATCTTTTATTTGTAAGTCAGCATTCACTGCTATTCGCTGTAGAGTTTGGGCCACAATTAACAGACCACAATGACACAACATGCATTTTCATTAGTACTGGATGTTAAACTCTGTTTCTTAGTGCAGACACACTGGTGGTAGAATTAGTATTAAGGTAGAGTAGGCTACGTTAGCAGCATGGCTAACCAAATCATGACAGAAACTTGTGAGCTGGAAATGTGAATGAAGCCACTCACTTCAACTTGCCATATCGTACAGTCCTAGAACACTCCCCCTGCAGCCCCTCATCCCGCTGACCAACGCAGCCCCTTGCTTCAAACACAGCAGGGAGTTGCATTTTTGAACGTACATCACTTTCCTGTCACACTTTGCCATACTGGGTGCTGCTCTGGTTCTGTTATGTACTGATATGAAACAGCTTTTGCCTCAACAAGAAATATCAGCATGTTTAAATTTGTCACACCCCTAGTATCAACCACAGTCAGCTCAGGTTTTTCACTTACTACTGTAAATTACTTCGGTGTCACTCTTGAGTGTGTTTGATTGATGTTACCGAGCACTTGCCTCTTCACAGCAGCTTGTGTTGGTTTTGTTACATTGACTTTTCCATGTTAACTTGAGACAGTTTTTGTTTGCAGTGTGTCTAAAAATGGGGATTCCCACGTAGGACGCATTGACTGATTGCTGAGCTAAGGAGTCAATGCATACATTATGCTCTCTCTCTCATTATGCAATATTGGCTTCATTTACTCATCATTTTCATTTGTAAGCATAGCTTCCATCCCCCACATTTTCCACATACTTGCAGTTACCACTTTGCTTAAAGTCACAGTGATTTTCTGTAGCATCAGTACCTCAGTACCGATGTAATATTGGTACCTCAGAATATATAGCAAGGTAAATTACCACGAAGGATATAAATTCTTCAGATTTGACTGAATCACACAAAATGGGCATGACCTATCAAACACATAGCAGTGTAGTAGAGGTGCACTTTTGAGGACTGGGTTAGCCTCTACCCATCCATCAGGGTGCCAAGCCAAAGCAGGACAATAAATAGACAAAAAAACTCAACAGTCATTCAAAAAGATAAATGAAAGACACAGCAGCCAAATACAGCCAATCTAGTCCTAGTACTCTAGCAGTCCTGGTACTGGAACTTTAATTGGTCATTGGTAACCACTGATTTGGTAATGACAGTATCTTTTAAAACAATTACCTGTACAGGACAGAGTATATAAAATATAAAAACTACAGTGTGACCATAATGTATACAAGGTGAAATTTCACTCTTTTGTCATTTTTCTTCTTTGCAAACATGTTTCTCAGCCAATCACGTCAAGCCAATTTTTATCCGTATATCAAATATCACAGTTCACAAATTTGCCTCAAGGGGCTTTGCAACCTGTACAGCATACAAAACCCTCTGTCCTTAAACCCTTCAATCAGGCAAGGAACAACTTAGCCAAAAAACCCTTTAACAGGGAACATATAGCTGAAACCTCAGCAAGAGCAACAGAAGAGGGAACCCTCTTTCAGGACGGACAGATGTGCAATAGGTGTCCCATTATGTGCAGAACAAATCAGCATAAATTTGCAGTATGGACAATCAAATTCCATATTGTAATATATATGAATAACACTCACTAAACATATATGATGAACATGATCCTGGAGGATGAGCCGGTTTCCAAGTGCCTCTAATAGACTGTGAATAAAATTTGTAGATTTCCAGTCTAGCTGTAGTCTTTTTTTAACATTGTTGGGGACTGAGTACTGTTTTGTTTGCACTGTTTGAACTTTCTGACAAGGTGATAGTGTTACTTCCCCACTGGGGGTTTGAACTGGCAACCTTCCAGTCAGCTTTAGGCCAGCAGTGCTAATCTGTGAGCAATGCTACAGAGCTGCATTATTACTGTAATGAGTCTTATTTCTTCACTCTGACTGACTTCAGGTCTCTGGCAGCTCCTCTCCTCCATACTTCTCTCTGCCTTCATCCCCTTATAGCTCACCTCATGTGGTGTGTGTCCCTTCAGGCTGACTGAACTCTGTGGCAAGATCAGCAAGTCAATATAGCTGATCAAACAACCCCAGACAGAAAGGAATACTCTGTGTGTGTGTGTGTGTCTTATCAGTGTGTATACTGTATGTGTTTGTGCATGTGTACATCTGTGTGTGTGCGCACATTAATATTTGCAGGTCTAATCCTGCTTTGAAGTCTGGATTAATATGGGCCTGTCACACACACACACACACACACACACACACAAAACATTCATTCACATGCACACGTAACATGCATTGGGCTGCAGATAAAACATCAATGTTACACATGCTGTACATGAGTTCCTGACACAGACAGTCTTAGTAAGTGGTGTTTGTACTGTACTAGTAGTAATCAATCATAGTGGTACAGTAGTAGTATAAGTAGTAGCAGCACAATTATTAAAATAGTGGAAATGTTAGCAGTAATAGTAGTATTAGCAGTGTTGTCATATTAGCCATGTTAGTATTACCATAAAAGGAAAAGTTTGCTGTAGTGGTACAAATAGTATTATTAATTGTAGTAATAGTTAATGTTGTAGAAGCAGTAGTATTGGTACTAGATTATTTGTAGTAGTGCTAGTTGTAGTAAAAGTAGCATAAGTAGTAGTGGCAGAAACATCATGTTTGTAGTCCCACTAGCAGTAGTAAAAGCAGTAAAGCAGTGGTAAACATAATATAGGAGTAATAGTAGTACTGGAAGTAGTGAAATTACTAGCAGTAGTAGTAAAAGTAGTACCAAATGTCAACATGCGAGTCGTCAGTGTGATGATTTGCTGTGGCGACCCCTAAACGGGAAAAGCCGAAAGTGACTTTAATAGTAAAATTAGTAGTGTTCATAGTAGTAGAAGTATAAGAGCAGTAAAGGTTTTAATAGTAGCAATAGTTGTAGGATAATAGTACTACAGGTAGTAGTAGTAGTGTTGGTAATATAATAGTAGAAGTGGTGATACTCTCAGTGGCTGGTGTAGTAGTACAGTAGTAGTAGAAGTACAGTAGTTATAGTAACTGTGGTAGTTGTTGAAGTAGCAGTAGTCACAGTACCATAATAGTTGCAGTTGTATTAGAACTTTTAGTTGTAGCAGTAATTGTAGCATTGTGATAATGCAAATAGTAGTAGAGATGGAAATGATAGTAATAGTAGTAGTAGTAGTAGTAGTATGGTAATTGTAGCAAATATTCATTTGTAGTACCAGTAGCAGCGGTAAAAGTAGTAAAGTAGTGGTAAAAGTTATACAAATAGCAATACCAGTAAAAGTAGTGGTGTTCATACTGTACAAGTAGAAGCAATAAAAAAAAAAAAAGAAGTGGCATCGATATAAGCATTATAGTACTACAAGTAGTAGTAGTAGTAGTTATATTATTGGTAATATAATAGAAGTAGTGGTAGTAATACCATCAGCAGCAGTGGTAGTAGCACAGTAGTTGTAGTAATTGCGGTAGTTGAAGTATTTGAAGTCAGAGTAGCATAAAAGTAGAAGTTGTAGTAGTGTCATAGTTCTAGTAGTAGTGATTGAAGTAGCAGTAGTAAAAGTAGTTTGGTAATATTTGTAGTATAGTAGTTGTAGTAGTTATCATAGTAATAGTATAATTACATACTAAGTGTAGTGATGCGTACTTTAATGATACATACACCATACAGTCGTGCCTTACTATAGTTGTGAGAACACATAATACGTTCCCCAAGCCCTTAGCCATCATGACTGAGTGCCCAGCCCTAACACTAAACCTAACCTGAACATTAAAACCAGCTAAAAGGTCCTCACAACAATGGTATCAAACTAAAATTTGCCCATGCACGTATAGAGACGTACTGTATATATGCACACACAGAGCGGCGTGTATTCTGGAACAGAGCCATTGTGTGGACGTCAGGGTGGAGCCATCAGTGACACTAACTATAGAGAGCAGCGAGAAAGAGCCTCACTCTCTCTCCTGTCTCCTTCACTTCCCTTGCTTGTTCACCTCTGTCACAAGTACACACAGTACACTTGCTGGTACATGATAGTGATTATTCTTTCATGGATAATTAAATTAGCCCCATGACCCCTTAACTTTTTCAAGCATCCATCTTTTTTCTTTCATGGTCATTGCTTCTTATCTTTTCTGGCTACACTTCAACTTTTATTTGTGACTCACTTACAACTTAAGATAGGTATCAGTCTCTTCCTCTTGCCTCCCTCCTGTCTCCCCATTTTTCTCTTTTGCTTCCCCTGGAAACACGTGTGGATTAGCTGCTGCATGTATGTGTGTTGTGCTGGTGACTTCTGCCTGAACACATGAGAGAAAGTTGAGGTACATTAGGACTAAACAGATAGATCGGCACAGTTCCAAACACCATGCATGCAGATGCCATGCATTTTACATAAAAATCCCCTCACAGCCACAGTCAGTTGTGTTGTCAGCCACTACAATTAATGGAACTTTTCATGCACACTAGATTTTATTGAGACAAAGGTCTTAGTTAGACAAAGTATGGCTTGAGGTTTTGATTGGCTCTAGGCTTATATGCAGCTTAGTCTGCTTTCTTTTGGGTTTACAATTTATGCCCAAACCACAAAGGTTGTAGAGACATTGCTGAAAATTGTGGTTGTGTTTTCACTGCTTGACAAAAAGTGTAATCGATAGAAATTAATTTGGGGGGACCATAAGTGGGACAGCTTTTATGTTAAAGCTAATATTCTGAGTAACAGCTCTTGTATTAAAGCTACACTACCTAATTTCTTTTCAAATTCTCTAGCAAACTGACACAACTATTCTCTCTTTGCCCCTCTCATCACAACCTGTTTCCTAGTGATGATGTAAACTACGGATGCCTGGTTGCGACAAACTATACAAAATGTAGAGTTTCTCCAGTCTGAAGCTAGTGCTAGCTGACTACTGAGTAAAATGTGTCAGTCCAGTAGAAAACGCTGGTTGGTGCTAATGTGACACAAAGCACTAATGTTACACAAGGCTCAAATTACTCCCAAGTTCAATTAATATTAACTTAATACAAAGGTAAAATCATGACCATGCTAGGTCGCTAATGTTACCAAAACAAACACTTTAGCTTTAGATGCTAACACATCAAGAAGGAAGAACACCACATCTGAATCAAACCTAAATCCTTTGGCTGCTTTTAATTCTTTCCATCCCAAAAACCCTGGTTTTTGCTCTTTTTTTGTCACACTGTGCAAAAGAATGCTACCTCTTTGCTCTGCCAGCCAGTGTTTTGAACTTTTCGCACAGTTAATATGTCTTTAAGGTCCTGTATTAGTTCATTTAAATGTCCTCTCTCTGATCCAAACTGGACACTGTATTAATGTTTTAATTAAGATGTGCACTGGAAAGTACACTAGTTGACAGTGCATCTGGTACAATTCACTAATTACAGTAGTCAAACCATATTTACTTATGTAATGAATACACACCTACATGGAGATTCAACCAGCAAAGATAAAATACAATTCACAGTGTTAATGAAACTTTATTTTTTCTTATGTTTTCGTCTTTCTTTCTTTCTTTCTTTTGGTCTGTTCTTTTTCTTACTCTAAGGACATATCACGGTGTATGCATGTCCTATATAAATATGTTCAGTTACTAGTTTATTGGAGACACTTAGCTAAAATTATTAAGGAATAAGTAATTGAATCAGTGCCTCTCTAAAACAGTTTCAAAATAAACTGAACATTCTCACTTTCATAAGGGTTGAATTTATTGTAAGACTGTTGTATTGGACTGCATCTATAGTATGTGTACCTAATAAATTGGCCACTGTGTGTAAATATAGTTGAATTAAATTTAGAAATTTGCTACATGGGCCCCTCTTTTATTCTTTGAACATAATCACACATTCTAATTATGATAAAATTATAGGTGCAATCTTTAGGTAAATCCTAAAGAGTCCATGTTTTTGTAATTTCTTTACCTTTTGGTTGCCAGGTTTGTCTTTATTTGCCTTTGAGAAATAACTTCGTTAGATAGCTTAAAAGCTCAGTCAATCTAATAACTAGGGATAGCTCCTTTGGCCAATGTGGCCTCAGTAGCTATCTCTAGTAATAATGAATGCTAGCTAGCAAAACCTGAACAACAAAATATAATAAAACAAAATCTTGATGTTGGAGAACCAAAATAAAGCATTGTGCAGTTAACATCGCTGTTCCTCCATTTGCCGTCATGTTTTTTTCTGTCTGACTGTGATGTGAAGCAGTACACACAGTAGCTAAAGCTGAACATGTTCAGTTCAGTTACTGTGTGTCATGTCCGAAACACAATCTAGCAAAGTGGCAATAATGAGAATTTGTATTAATAACTGACTTAAAAAGTGTCTGCTGTTCACATATTTCGCCACATATGAGTTAAATCCATCTGACATACTAATAATAGGAAGAGCTCAGCTACATTTTTGGACACAGTGTATGTGTGGTTGTATATGCTACAGTGTAAATAGTGCACTTTAGTTACTATATATATTGTATACTTTATATCAGTAAATGAAGACACAACTGTCATGCATTTATTTTCTATATTAGGTTTGTTTATTTTATTATTTTTGCTACACTATTGTTTTATTGTTTGCTGCATCCTGTTCTCTGCCCAGCCTCCCCCTGGGTATCATCAAAAATGTCATCCAACCTAAGAATTGCCCTTTGTTGGATTACTACACTGTGTTGTCACACAGCTCAGGTTAGAGTCTGTCAGCTGTAAAGTCGGGTACTTTCCACACTGTCTGTCATTCAAGATCAATGTTAGATACTGAGATAAGAGGAAGTGCAGGTCAGCAAGAAGTAGTTTGAAAAGGTGAGAAACAACATAAACCACCAGTCTGAATGTGGGAGTTACTTTCAGTGTTGGTGTGTGTTTAACCCTAGTTATGGTTACTGTCAGAGGTAGGCCATGCCTGAAAATGTGTCATAGTTTCATGCACACTCAACTTCTTTGTGGTGAGTGTTTGTGCATACAAACTTTACTTGTGCAGTAAAGTTAAAGTGTCTCAGGTCAACTTTAAAGCTGCATTAAGCAAAAATGTTAATCAAACCTTTAGTATGCAGCCAACAACTGCATTCAGGTCATAGTTTTTGGTTCACCAGTCCAGATGAAACCCAACCAATGCACCTGCTCTCACAAAAGGAAGTGTACAACCAGCTCACACAAGCCGATTGTATGCTTCCTGTTTAGCACTAAATGGCGGAGGGGCGAACTGGCTGAAGAACGTCGAACATATAGCAATCCAAAGACATCCTGATAATTTTCTCAAGAGTCTGTGGACCAGACCAGAGCTGAATTGAATTTACATTCAACATGTGGCCAAAAAGATGACTGCGAGTCCAGATTCCTCTGTTTCTGCTGAATGTGTAAGTAGTCAGTTATTTGCTTAAAAGTTAGCAGTAGCAGCAGATCTAGTGTCTGTCTTTCTACCTTCTAGTGATAACAAAATGCTTAATGCAGCTTTAATTTCATTTTGGGGTAAAAGCAATAAATATTAAGACCATCACACCAAGGGCACATGATTATGTTGCATGTGCCATCGTACCATGATTTAGATTTCATTCATTCAGCTAATTAATTGCGGTAATTAAATGTCCATAATTTATATTTTTGAGCATGTTTGGTTTTACATAGCAAGTTTTACATTGACTTCAACCACTTAAGTGGTTGAACTTAGTTCATTGACTGATTTTAGTTTTAATGTGTTGTGTTTTTTACGTTTTGTACAGTTTATGGAGTCTATAAAATGTCATGAGCAGAAATATCTTTTTCCTTTATTTTTCCAATCATCACTTCACTTTCATTTTAGCAGTTCATTTCCTAATGTTTTGTTATTTATCTCATAAGCAGCATCTCTGTCAGTGATTTAATTATAATATTAATAAATATCTATACAGTTAAAGCTACTCTACCTAATTTCCTTTTAGCTTAGAGTGTCTAGTGAGACTCAAAACAAACCGACACCAGTATGTAATGTGTAAAATCTTAATGCATCTTTGAATCACACTATGACTAGTAATGTCCTTTTTTGTTTAATTTGTGGATTATCAAAGAATGATCTACTCTGTAATCTAAACTCTGTATTGTGAAAATCAAGATCAACCCATGCTTTATTGTCACTTGGGAAAGTTTGTCTTGGCTCAGAGTGAAAAATTCATGGGATGTTTTGGGCTCTAAAAGCATTTGTAACACCAGCAATCCACCCATGTATCAAAAACATTTTCTGTTTCAGTGTTAAAAGTGTGCATTGCTGTAGTTTAGTGTGTCCTGAGGTCCTTTAGTTTTTGCCTTTGCAGGCCCTCTCACCTGCTCATTACACTATTTGGGGGCTTGTTAGCACTAGCTAGTGTTAGCATAGCTGTTGAACTTTACATTCACCTCTGCTCTACACTTTTTACATACCCATTTATAAAACCTGTTACAGCAATACACATGTATAAAGATGCCTCTTGGCCCTTTTACATCGGACACCTGATGAGATTTTAGCATCATTAATGCTGGTGAGCTGATGGATTAGCCATAACAGTAGAGACAGGACATTATTTATATAATTGAACAACGTTTTTTGTAATTGCAGAATTTTTCTGATAGGTATGAAATTTCAAACCAAATTAAGTTTTTTGAAGGTACTTTATATTTTATATTACTTTGATGTTTAACAAAGGGGTGTGATGAGCTATTAGTACTCCCCTCCCAGTGTGTGTGTGCGTGTTAATGGGACCCACCTGTGTGCTGGACCTATCTGCTCTGTTTTGTACTAACAAGAGCAGACTAATACATATGTGCTTGTACTGCAGTAGCTCTGTGATTATATGTATGAGGCCTGTAAATATGTCTGTGAGTTGTTATTGTGTTTGTGGATTGCTTTGATGGGCCCAGACAAGAGTGAGCAGCAGTTTTCTCAGACCTAGCCTTTGCTCCATCTGTTTCCCAGGAGATGGCGACCTCTGACCCCTGTGCAAATGCTCCCCCAACACCGCCTGAGGAGCCAGAGCCCTCCCCTTCCCCTCGCAAGAAGCGTGGGCGTCGGAAACTAGAGCAAACTGAGAGGAACAAGGGTATAAATTTAATGCAGAGGCATATAATTTCAGATAATATAACTTTGCTCATATTTACAGTAATTAAAAATGTCAGAGGTCTGACCCAAGCTTAACTTGGTGACATTTTAGATGCTTTACAGATGTGAGAAGTTATAATCATAATTTTGTTTATGAAAAATGGCACTTGTTATCAGTTTACCTGAAATTTTAATAGCCAAATATCACAATGTAGTGTTTGAGGGCATTTCAGCTGTAAATTTGTATGCATGGGCAAAGTGAGTTTACCTGCTCATTGTTAAATCTGTACAAATGGCCCATTTCCTCTAACTTTTCTTCTACTGCAGATGAGCCAGATGACAGAAACTGCGACTCCCCTAGAGAGGTGAGATATGACATCCAACAAATGAAGTTAAGCACTCTTATACAGTAGTACAAGCAGATTTAAGAGTATAGTCGGTATATAACAAGCTTTGTGTTTATGTGTATGCATGTGTGTGTGTGTATGTGTGTATGTGTGCAGGGTGAGACTGGGAGACTGCGGAGGAGGCCAGTCCCAAGGGTGACTTTCCAGGCTGGAGATCCATACTACATCAGCAGGAGACAGAGAGAAGAATGGCTCAGCCGCTGGAAGATGGAGGTGGGAGAGATTCAGGTCTCTGTTTGTGTGAATTTACAGTTACAGAAACATGGAGGCTTGTATTGAACACTTTAATCACAGTAAACTAGGCTGGCTTTATATAACGCTTTTGACAGAACACCCATATTACATTTTCATTTTGTAATATCTTTGTCCTGTATACTGTGAAAGTTTAACTGACTGACATATCTGCTGTGAGGATTTGTAAGCTTTTGAATGTGATCTTTAGATGGGTGCTTTGTATTGTAAAGTAACCCAGATACAGTAGAAATCAGCTGCGGTTTGTTCACTGTGCAGCAGTGAGTAGTCAAGTGATGGGGAAATCCCTTTGAAAAAAAAGAACTAAACCTTCACAGCAGAAGTGCACTGTGCTTAGCATTTGGCAATATTGCAAAAAAAATGTTAACACAATATCATGTTTTAGGGATATTAACTCGATACATGTCATTTCTGCTAAATGTTCATTTTGCTCAAATAAAATGACAGAGCAGTCATAAAAATAGCTTTTTATTAATTATTTATTCTGTTTAAAAAATGAAGCAAAGACTATATTTCTTCATTGACTTTTGAAGTGAAGTGAAGAGAAGTCAGTGCAGTCCTCGCAGCAAGCAGGTATTAAAATGAGTTTTTTCTGCAAACCACTGGCATCCTGAAAATTTTTTTTAGTCAACATATTTAGTTGCTCATTGACATTTATTTCAGCCTCTGTCACACACTTTTGTTTTCAGCCTTCCTTCCCTTTTCTGCTGTGTAGTGTGTTTGTTTTCACTAGAAGGGAGCAGACCTCTCTCTCATACAAATGGTGGAAGATGAACTGTGTACTTTTAGTATGATTGGCTTTTTACAGTGACATTTACTCAACACTTCAACACTTGACACAGTGAAGTGCCGTTGATAGTGAAAGAGGCACGTTCCCTTTCTATGGTTGCAAATGCCTCTCATACATAATGTTTGTCCATCAAATGATTTGGTCTTTGTTTGATTTTGACATTGCCCTAGCTCCACAGCACTTCCCATCTCAAATCAGTTTTTTTCCAGCATACTAGCTCTTTAAAATGTGATATGTCAGAGGTATGTTTACACTTTTTTGTGCTGCCAAAATGGCCAAAATTTAGTGGAACCATTTTGCAATACAGTTTTCTATAATAAGTAAAAAAAAAAAGAACATTTGTTCACATACATGTATGTATGAAATATCTTGCACCATTGTATCAAGAACTGTACCACTGGAGAAAATACTGTGCTGCTGCAGTGTAACCCAGAGAGGTTAATGCAAGAAAGTGTGTGCATGAGGGTGATAAAACTGAAAGACAAAATGAGTGAAAGAGACAGGATGTGTGTGATCATGAAAGGGAGAGAGAAAGTCATTCAGGTTGATTGACAGACAGACAGGCTGGCTGAAACACACGGAGATGGGAGAGGAAGAGAGAGAGACTGAGGCTGATAGACAGCTCAACCACGACTGGCTGTACATTTCTCCTCCTCTTGTTTGAACTTGTTCTGTTGCAGCCAGTTTGAAAATCCGGGAGATATATGAGAAAAAAGTCACCTGAGAAGTTGAAAAAGAGCAACGCATGCTGCATAAGTCATTAGTAATTAAATGGAAATGAACCCCAAAGTTCCTTTCATATATAAATACACCCAAATGAGCTTGCATGTCCATGTGACAGATGGAGACAGAGAGAGAGCGAGAAAGGAGGCGCATATGTGGCTTCCTGTTAACAATCTCTTCTCACCTACTGACTCATGACCTACTCTCAGGCCTTAAGTGATGTGTGCTTTTGATGAGTGTATTGAAAATGTAGGGTGTTCTCATAACTATGTATTAATTTGAAAAAAGAATGGAGGGAGGTTAATGTTATGAAAAAAGAAAGAAAGGAAGGAAGCTGAAAAGCAGGAGGGTAGTGGTGGAAGTACCAGTACATTAATATCTACAGTAAGTACTACTTTAAAAGTAAAAGTACAACATTCAAAAGAAGAATGATGGAAAGGGAAGTAAAAGAGAAGAAGATGTAAGGAGAAAGAAAAGAATGAATGCAGGCAAGAAAATAAAGAAAGTAGAGAAAAGGGAAATGATGACATGAGATGTAAGCAAGAAACGGGACACTGACAAAGGGAAGGTGTGAAAGGAAAACTGATATCAAAATGTGAAACAGACAGCAAAAAAAGATCATGGAGAAATCGGTGACGGAGGTTAACCAGCTCCAGTTTTTGGCCTCTGTGTGTGTGTGTGTGTGTGCCTGGTATTACTCTTGTTGTGGGGACTCAGCCTTGCTCATGGCGACCAGATGGTGGTCATGTAAATCACGGTATTTTAGAGTGACGACTTTATTTATTTTTAGCTGAAGGTTAAGGTAGGGGATAGAGTTAAGCAAGTAGTAGTTATGGTTAAAGGTGTACTAACTAAAATTAATATACACATTGTTTGATAAAACAAAATCGAACAGGATCTGGCGTCGCTCAGCTATACTGCACTACCAA